CACAGTTTCTTTAGAAACTTACCACCTTCATTCGTGAAAATAAAAGTCAAACAATCCAGTTGTAAGGATAAGCCACGTACATAGTTGAAACGAATTTCTTTCAAAGCCTTTTCGGGTACAGCTCCCTATAACACGATCGGCAGTCGCTTATGGAAAAAGTTATTGAAACCCCTGAGTTTATCCTGTCAATGCCATGAAGATGGAGAAGGAATTTCTCCCCTAGATATCATTACAACTTTAAACAGAAAGGTACGAAGAGGAAAGGGAAAAAGAGAAAAATATGAAGTGGGAGATTTTGTTGAATTAACCACCTCTTCAGGGATTTAGTTATAAAAAATATGAGGAGTTAATATTCAGATTTTGGGTACGAAAGAGTTTATGAGCAACGTGAAGAAGTGTTACGAACACTGGCATAACTCGAGCGGAAAAAGCACCTGATACTTTCAAGATCATTTTACCTCTGGACTGCGCTGAAGTTCTTTCCCGTCAACAACAAAGATGGCCGCGTGAGATCCGAAAAACTGCCGCGTTTCCATCGCTTCTCTTACTTCTGTGTTCGTCAAAACGCCATAACAGGCCTGCAAAGCATAGAAACTTGGATAAAACAACAAAAATTCTTACTGCCAAGGCATTTTACCTCACTCTAATCAGCTTATAACATACACACAAGTTCCCGATGGAACAAGATGGAATACAGAATTAAGCAAGCGAGTGTGGAAATTGAACAAATATTCCTCAAATGGAGTACAAACTCCCTTAGAACGCAAATATATTCTTGGCTATAACTTACTGATTTCAGAGTTCCAAATTATAATTTTTATCAGCATCAAATTGTGTCAACTTAGTGAAAGAACATCTATTTTCCAAGTCTTCCCACTCTCTTCGATAAATATGTGATCGTATTTTATCTTTATCCAACACCTCAGTCGTCCTATCTGATGTTTATCGATTTTTCATTAACTACTACGCTAGCGTTTCAAGGATGTGCCATCGCTCTAACTGTTTCTCAAGAAAATCTCTAAGGAAAGGCTAACGAATGATTAAAGCAGTTGCCTCTCTAACGGAAAACCGTTCGAGGCATGCATGGTCATGTATAATTTACATAACGGGGGATGGGGGAAGTGAAGGGAGGCGAGGTTACCATACTTAAGACTGGACTAACTAACCTGAAAATTAAATTCAAATTACGGCAAGAAAAGTGAAAAGTGAGTAGTTTTATTCTTCACTAACCTTGGTGCAAATTTTCATCACTCTTTTCTGTAAGGGAACGCCACGGACTTCCGCACCATAGAGTGCTAACAAATCAATCTAATGAAGGACGACACCAAAAAGAA